AAATGAGGCCTAAATAGCTTCTTCTAGCAAAGTGACCATACTTCAAGAAGCTGATGTGATATTTACTTTTATTTTTGTTGTTTCAAAGTTTTTAGGATAAATTACACTGCTAATCCTTATATTAGGGCCTTATCTCATTTTGGTCCCTGTAATTTTAATTGGCTCAATTTTTTACTATGAATTTTTTATTTTGTCTCAAATTAGTCCAATTGATTCTAATTGTTCGTATTTTTGTTTTGAAAATACGCACATGAGCGGGATGCGTCATGGTTTTAGCAAAAATTGTAAATTTAATTAATTCAATGACTTAAACCCAACAAATTCAATAATAATTTTCCATTAAGAATCCTAACGATATTATCTATTGGATCAAATTAATGCAAAATCTAAAATTAATGATCAAAATTGAGTCAATTGAAATTATAGGGACTAAAATGATACAAGCAACAAAATTCAGGGACTACTATTATAATTTGTCCAAACTTTTATTATATACATGTGGGCAAGTTATGATGATAGTCCTAGTACTTTGATCATTGTGTCATTTTGGTTCTTGTAATTTCATTTAGCTTGATTTTGATCATGAATTTGTGAATTTTTTTTAATTTGGTCCAATTGATTGCAATTTTTAACATTTTTTTATGAAAAATACGCAAACAAGTGTCACATGTCACTTGAACCAATTTAGTGATAATTTTTCTTAAAAAAGCTAACGATATTATCAATTGGACCAAATCGATACAAAATTTAAAATTAAGGGTTAAAAGTGAGCCAATTGAAAGTGTAGAGACCAAAATGACACAAAGAGCAAAACATAAGGATTACCGGTATAATTTTTCCATTTGTGTTTAATAAAATTTATATTTCTGGAACCTATCTAATGAGATCAATGAACAATATAGAATATAAAATTTGTAAAACTAAAATATTACTTTTTTTAACTGTACGAAACTGAGGTTTTTCTAAATTTTTCCTAGTTTTAATTAATATTTTATCAATTTCGCATAACAGTGTTATACACAGTTGTTTCACTAAAAAATTATTTTGTATTTAACATTGATCTTGATATATCTTAAATAATAAATTTTTAAAAATCAAATGAGTAATATAAAAATAATAAAATTTCACCACATTAGCAAAGTTGTTATCCTCTGTCATGTTTTCCTATAGCGCCCTTTGTAGTGTTTTGGGGAATTTTGTTTTGGACAAATTATGTAAATGGTCCATATAGTTTACATAATGTGTCAATTTGGTCCATGTTATTTTAATTTGTTTGATTTTATTCTTTAATTTAACAGATTGTGTCATATTGGTCCAATAAATGATAGCCGTTATGCTTGGTGGACGGAAACTCAAACGATGTATCAATTTGGTCCATGTAGTTTACACGATATGTCAGTTTGGTCCTTGTAAAGATTGAACAAATTAAAACAATAGGTACTAAATTGTTACATTGTGTAAACTACAGGGGCCAAATTGGCAAGTCATTTGAGCATGTGACAACTTTCAGCCCATCAAACTTAACAGCCGTTATTTATTGGACCAATATAACACAATCCATTAAATTAAGGGGTAAAATCGAGTAAATTAAACAATATGAACTAAATTAGCATATCGTATAAACTATAGGGACCATTTACATAATTTACGTTTTTTTGTCCTTCCGTTATGCATTTTTCTTGTTTCTCACAACTTGCACATCTCCATCACAAAAAGTTATTTCGTAGATCTGAGGTGTAATTTGGGCGAGGTTAATCCAAATAACTTAAGTTCAGCTTGAATTTTTTTAAGGCTTCGGAAAAATATTTTTAAATTCGTTATAAGTTTGAGCAAAAATCCGAATTAAATTTGAGCGGGCTTGAGTAAAAATATCAAACAATCCAAGTAGCTTGTAACCCGAATTATATATGTAAATGTAAAGGGCAAATTACCAACACCCCCTCGAGGTTTGACTAAAATACAGATTCCCTCTGAGGTTTGAAAAATTACAAATTGCCCCCTAAGGTTTATATTTGCATAACAAATGAGGGAGCAATTTGTTATGCAAATATAAACCTCAGGGGGAGAGATGTAATGTCTCAACCTCAAGGGAGAATCCGTATTTTAGTCAAACATCGATGGGGTGTTGGTAATTTTCCCATATATAAAATATTAAATTTACATATAAATTATTAACCATTAAATGATATTAAAGTAATTTAGATTGTTAGGTCATATTGCATATATATTACATACACAAGTAATACAATATAAAATTTTACTTATTTATTTTTTCGCACTCAGAAATTGTAAATATCATCATAACGACATATTTCTTACATTATATAAATTAATTGTTTTGATGTTATTAATGATTTTATAAAAAGAAAAATTATAAATAGTCTAATGTTAACAAATTAATTAACTTAGCTGCACTTTAAAAAAAAAAGAAAAAAAAATTGAAATTTATGTGTAATTCGGGCAACTCCGGCAATTCGAGTTTAGCTCGAGTCGAGCTTAGGCAAACAATCTCGAGTTACAATTCAGGCTTGAGCAGGCCCAGACACTCTCAACACAACTTGAGTTGAACTTAGACAAGCTCTTAACCTATTTAAACCTGCCCGAGTTGCACCCTCCAACGTAGGGGTGATCATGAATCCGTCCAACCCGATCGAAACGATCCAACCTAATTGATTTTAGACGGATGTGTGTCTTTCAGTGCATGGATGCAGATGAAATATTTCAGAATTCATAGATATGGTTCATGTGGTGGATCAACCATCTAACAGCTGCATGAACCTGATCCGCCCGTAGATTCAAAAAAAAAAAAAAAAAGAAAGAAAGAAAGAAAGAAAGAAAGAAACTGCTAATAAGTAACAATAGAGTATAAATAATAAAATCTATATTTTTGTGAAAATAGAAAGCAATATCTTAAAAATATCCATGCGTAGTGCCATGGCCTATTATAGACAAATAATACATATTTTTTAAAATATTCATGCAAGGGCAGGATGTAAAAATTATGAATTACAATTCAAAAAAATGCCTAAAATTTGTAAAGTCCAAACCGCCAGATCAATCGTATCCATTCCCCAATCCACACGGCTTGCTCAATATGCATCTGCCAAACCAGTGAAAGGATACATATTGAATTTTTACAATCTACCTAATTTTAGACGAATGACGAATGGAATATCACTCGACCCAACCCAAACTTCATTCACCCCTACTCCAACGTGTGCTCACCTTTGATGTAGATGAGTTACATTCAGTGTGTTTGGTTTGAATTTTCTGAATTAAGTTTTTTGAAAATTGACTTTTTTGATTTTCGTGTTTTTTTGTTTTTAGTGAATATTTTTTAAATTTTAAACATTGTTTTTTACTTTTTTAGATGCGCCTTACTTAGATGTATCTAAAAAGTAAAAAAATTGTGAAAAAATATTTTAAAAATTAATAAATACATAAAAATACAAAAAATGTACTGAATTCTTATATTTTTTTTTGTATTTTTGGTATTTAGTGAATTTTTAAAAGATTTTTTTTACATTTTTTTTTTACTTTTTAGGTGTATTTATGTTAGGCGTATCTAAAAAGTAAAAAAATTGCTTAAAATATTTAAAAAATTTAGTAAAAACAAAAAAATACCGAAAATAAGAAAGTAGAATTTTTTGAAAAGTATTTTTTGAAAAGTAGAAACAAACAAGGTGATTACTTTTGTGTATTTTATTGATAAAATTATCATTCAAAGGAGAGATTTTTAAAAATTATTATATATTAGTGAAAATGTTTATCATTTTAATTATTAATATTTATAATGTTTATTATTATTTTGTAAATAATTTTTCATACTATCAGTGGTGAGTAATTTTCCTAATTTTATTATTAATAAAATATTGACACATTAAATAATAAACTAATGAACTAAAAATATGTTTCTAAAAATAATTTTTTTAAGAGATATATAAGATAAAATAATAACACTTCAATTATTAAATCAATTTAATTTTTTTAATAGATGATATAAACAAAAGACCTTACCAATTGAAGCTCGGATAATCCAAAAAGAACTCGTAGTGGGCCCTACAAATCCCTTAAGTTTTCTAAAGTTCTAATTTGAACTTGAGAAAAGCCAAACCTTAAACAAAATAAGTATAAAATTTGAACTTGACCGTCATGTTAGGTCTAGTCTTGATTTCGATAATCCAAACCATTCATTTGGTATGATTTTTCTATATATATCATTCCTAGTAAAAATTAAGTCAATTTAATGATCATAACATTTTAATTTTATTGTGTTTGTCTCCAAAAGAATAAATCGCCTATTTTCAAAAGGTTAACGCTATGTGTACGATATACAAGTTATGACATTTGTAAGTTTGATTATTTCAAGAGAAATGTTAGAGGTCATGAAAAAATTTTCATGAAAATAATCATGAAAGATTTATGATCTTTGGATAACTTGATTAGTGTGTGGTGCTTTATTCTAAGTGTAATCCAAGAGTCACAAAGCTTTCGTGATTATTTTCATGAACAAAATTTCATGATACCTAGCATTGCTGTTATTTCAAATATCGTAACTCAATTCTATGGGAGTCATAGCTAAAAACAAAAAGAGTTACAATATAATCAAAGAGTTTTTAGATAATGACCAAAATAATGTCACAATCAACATCGCATTGAGTCATAATTAATATGACAATATGTATAATCAACTCATAATCAAGTCTTAACTAATGCCTCTATAGGTTATAATCAAAGTCATAACTATTCCCTATTGAAAAACATATTTGTCGTTTATTTTATCAGAAAAAATGAGATAAAAAAAATAAAATTACGATTATCAAATAGATTTAATTTTTTCATAAATAATATATAAAAAAATACTTTATAAAATCAACTATTCAAATAATCAAAGTGGAACTACCCGCCCTAACACAGACGGGCAAGTTTTGTCTCTTTAGCCATTGACATAACTTGACTCTGGCTCACCTGATCACATTATAAAACCAACCAGCAGCTTCAAGTTATGAAACACCTATCACCAGCACTTCCCAAGCTAAGTTTCACCCATAAAAACCCGCGAAACCCACCTCTAAGATGTCCAAAATAACCCCAACAACATCTTTTCAAATCCTTCTCTTCATGTTCGCCCTCCCACTCCTCATCCTGCCCTTGCATGGAAACTCCCAATCTACTGATTCAGAACAAACAATCCTACTCAGACTCAAACGACACTGGTCCAATCCACCCTCCATCAACCACTGGACACCATCACCACAAAACTCCAACTCCTCCACCCACTGTAATTGGCCTGAGATCACCTGCTCCAATGGCTCCGTCACCGGACTTTCCCTCATCGACAAAACCATCACCGGGCCAATCCCACCGTTCATTTGTGACCTCAAAAACCTCACCGCCATTGATCTCCAGTACAATTACATCCCCGGACCCTTCCCTACGGCTCTCTACAACTGTACCAAGCTTGAACATTTAGACCTCTCCCAAAACTTGTTCGTGGGCTGCATTCCAGGCGATGTTGACCGGTTGTCAACTCATCTCCGGACCTTCAACCTCAGCGGCAACAACTTCACCTGCGATATCCCAGCAGCCATCGGGCGGTTTCCGGAGCTCACAACCCTTCGGCTTTATCTAAATGAGTTTAACGGCTCTTTCCCGCCAGAAATTGGCAATCTGTCAAGGCTCGAAATGCTGGAGCTGTCGGACAATGAATTTGCACCGATGGCGATATCATCCACCTTTACCCAGTTGAGGAAACTTAAACAACTATTGATCAAAGATTCAAGTTTGATCGGTGAAATCCCAGAAACAATTGGGAATTTAGCAGAGCTCGAGGAATTGGACTTGTCAAACAATAACTTGACTGGTACAATTCCGAGTTTGCTTCTGCTGAAGAATTTAACAATAGTATATCTCTTCAAAAATCACTTGTCCGGGCCAATTCCTCAGCCCATTGAAGCTTTGAAGATGGAGGAATTTGATTTATCCGAAAACAACTTGACAGGAACAATTCCGGATGATTTTGGTACACTAACAGAGTTGTCAGTTTTGTCTCTATTTTCCAATCAACTCTCGGGGGAGATACCGGAAAGCATTAGTCACCTTCCATCACTGAGATATGCAACATTGTCCAGCAACAATCTCTCTGGAACATTGCCACCGGACTTGGGGCAATATTCCATTCTTCAGGGGTTTGATGTCGCCCAGAACCATTTCACCGGTAAGGTGCCAGAGTACTTGTGCGCTAATGGTGGACTAATAGGAATTGCGGCATATGATAACAATTTGAGTGGTGAATTGCCTAACTCACTTGGCAATTGTTCGAGTTTGTTGATTGTTCGGGTTAATGGTAATCGCCTTTCTGGTAGTATTTCAGCTGGTCTTTGGACATCAACCAATCTGACATTGTTGATGCTTAGCGATAACTCCTTTACCGGTCACCTTCCAAGAACACTTGCACCAAGTTTATTACGACTCGAGATCAGTAATAACAAGTTTTCCGGTGAAATCTCAACTGGGTTGTCTTCTTGGAAGCATTTAACAGTGTTCAGTGCAAGTAACAACCTCTTTGTTGGTACGATTCCACAAGAATTGACAACACTTTCTCAATTGACAACTCTGCTGCTCGATGGGAATCTATTTTCCGGTCATCTTCCATCAGATATTGTCTCATGGAAGTGGCTGACCACTCTGAATCTCAGTCGAAACCAACTCTCGGGTTCAATTCCTGCCAAACTTGGTTCTTTACCAAGCCTCACTGTTTTGGACTTGTCAAGGAATGCGTTCTCAGGTCAAATTCCAACTCAGATTGGCCTTTTAAAGCTAACTTCCCTCAATTTGTCTTCCAACTGTCTCACTGGAAGAATCCCATCTGAGTTTGAAAATACTTTTTTCAATGCCAGCTTCTTGAACAACACCGGTCTTTGTGCAAGTAATCCATCACTCGGCCTTGAGATCTGCTCTTCTAGATTTGAAAACTCGAGCAAATTATTCTCCAGGCTTCTCGCTATAATCATAGGTATAGCAACAGTCTTACTTGCATCAGCTATGCTACTCACATTCTTCCTAATTAAAACCAAGGGCCGCGAATCGGATTCCAAGTGGGAGTTCACTTACTACCAGAAATTGAATTTGAGTTTCAAAGAGTCAGACATTTTGTCAAATTTGACTGAAAATAATGTGATCGGAAGTGGTGGGTCGGGAAAATTATATCGTGTTGAGTTGAACTGTTCAAGTGAAATTGTAGCAGTTAAGAGGATTCAGAATATCAAGTTGGATCAAAAGCTCGAGAAGCAATTCCTAGCAGAAGTTGAGATATTGGGCACAATTCACCATTCCAACGTAGTGAATTTGTTGAGTTGCATTTCTAGTGAGACTACAAAACTTATTGTTTATGAGTATTTGGGAAACCATAGCTTGGATAGTTGGCTCCATGGAAAAAAGAGGCAAAGCATATCGGATTCAGACCTCGGTGTTGTCTTGGACTGGCCTAAGCGGTTGAAAATTGCCGTGGGAGCTGCCCGAGGGCTATGCTACATGCACCATGATTGCAAACCTTCAGTAATTCACCGAGATGTGAAATCGAGCAATATTTTGTTGGATTCTCAGTTCAATGCAAAAGTTGGAGATTTTGGCCTAGCCAAGATATTGGTAAAGCATGGAGGGCCTAATACGATGTCAACTGTGATTGGCTCTTTTGGCTACATTGCTCCAGGTAATTAACATATAAATTGATTTATTTTTAATTTATTTTCGTATTTAATGAAATTTTTTTAAAAAATTAAAGTTAGACGTTTTTTTTTTTAACGTTTTTTAATTTATTTTTAAAATGGTTTATTTTTGTCATTCATAACATTTTTCAAATAACTAAAAAAATAAACCTCTGAATTGCAAATTGCGATCAGAGCTGGCAGGCGCTAAGTTCAAAAAATTTTAAATGTAAAAGTTTCTTTGAAATTGATTTAAAGACAAAAATATGTTAAATCTTGTCCAAAAAAATCTGAAAAGGTTTACTTTTTTCTTTAAATAGATGTTTGGAAAATTTTCAAAATTTTAAAGATTTCCTAGTAGAGATGGACGAAAATATTTGTAAGAAAAAATTAAAAAAAAAAAAAACTCTAGAGTTTGATCCTTGTAATAAAAAATGTCCTGAATTTTTAATTTTGTCAATTTAAACAATAATCTGTTCATTTATTGTCAATCTAAACTATCAACCTATTTCCGTTAAGCAAAACCTATGGTAATTTGTGTTTTACTCATTAAATTCAATATAGGTTTTTATAAAATATCTGAAATATATTTTTTTATTGAGTTTAATGACTAAAATACTTATTTTTTTCTTCATCAATTTTCCTTAACAAAAATAGACAAATGATTTAGATTGAAACAATCAAAAGATTATGGTTTAAATTAAAAAAATTAAAAGCTCAGTTTATTTTGTTACATAAGTTAAACTCTAATATTTTTTTTCCTCCAAAATTTAAAATCTTGGTTCCAAATCACAGTAAGAGTTAGCTAGGAGCTGAGTTAAAAATTAAGGAAATGTGGAAAAATATTGAAACAATCTACTATAGATGAAAACAAGTTAAATTTTGTTGAAAAACTGCTAAAAAGTTTCCTCATTTTTGTCTTTAATGAGTTTTTTTTTTTTTTTTGAAAATTAAATTTTTTTTTTTAGATTTGTCTAGTCTAGATTGATGTAAAATGTATAAAATAAAAAAATTACCTCAAAGTTGTAAAACGTTCAATAAAAATAAGTCAAATATAAGACAAAAAAACAAGTCAACTTATAAGCTGTAATTAAAAAATTCTAAATTTTATTTTACATTAATTTTCGACATTCATATTTTAAATTATTTATGACTTTCAGAGTATGCTAGGACAAGCAAAGTGAATGAGAAGATTGATGTCTATAGCTTCGGTGTTGTCCTTCTAGAACTAGTTACTGGTAAGAAAGCCAACGATGAAAATGAAGGTATGTGCCTTGCCGATTGGGCATTTCAATATTACAATCAAGAAGGCAGGCACATAGTTGATGCCCTGGATGAGAAGATTAAAGAACTTCATTACTTGTATGAAATGGCTTGCGTTTTCGAGCTTGGGATCATTTGCACTAGCCCACTTCCCTCGAATAGGCCTAGCATGAGGCAGGTTTTACAAATCTTGCTCAATTGCAGCCATCAATCGGGATTTGGAGGGGGGTAATGTTGGGAGTGAGAATGACTGCTGTTCTGACTTCTCTGATGATTTTAGGCAGGGGAGCATTTTTTAAGGTGAGGATGGAAGTTTATTTTCCATTGTTTAGTTACTCTTTTCATTCTTGACTATTGCATAAGCATTCGCAATTACTACCACAAGAAAGCCGCCCCCTATCTCTAAAGGGGCTCATCACTTCGTCTGTAGACTGCAGTCTACCTTAGTGATTCCTCTTGTATACTTAACTTGTTTGGTGCCCTTCACCGGTTTATTCCTTCCTTGAGTAGAGCGGCAATGTGGCAGGACCGCCCTTGTAAAACAAATCAAGTTGCTCATTCTAGGCTTGTGAAAACCTATTTCAAGATCAACTCACTATGTAAATTTTTGAAGAAATTATAAAAAGAATTTCAGAATTGGAGCCCTACAATAAAATAAATTCTAAATTTTTAATTTTGTCAATTTAAACCTTAATATTGTAATTTTTTTTCCGTCTAAATTATTTGCATATTTTTGTTAGGTAAAAGCGATTACAAATGACATTTTCAGTTATTAAACTCAATAAAAAATAGTATTTAAGACATCTTCCATGTACCTATATTGAGCATAATGACTAAAATATTATTTTTCCGTTACTTTTATTTAATGAAAATATGCAAATGATTTAAATTAAAAATAAATCAGAATATTAGAATTTAAATTTACAAAATAAAAAATTTAAGATTTATTTTAGAGATTTTAGGTTTTTGTAATTGGTAATCCGTTTGACAAAACTCCTATCAGTTGTAATTTTATTCGCTATTTGTTTCAGTGAGACTAGGAGTGCTTAGATACCAATCCAACCCCGCGATGTGCCCGTGTAGAAGAGTTTGTGCTGGCATTCAGTATTCCTTGTTTGCCACTTCGCAGACTATAATAACTAAAATTGTTTGACCGCTCAAGCAGTGGAGTGGTTCATCCAGTATTTCAGCCTTCATTCAGAAACTGTTGAAAGTCCAAGGAGAGCATAAATTATGTAATCACATGAAAGATATATAGTAAAAAAAAAAATATGTATATATGTGTGTATATGCTTCCTACTTTATTTACATATTCATAAGAAGCAATCGTAGCTCTGAAGCAAGGAAATTACAGAGGAAACAACTCTGAGAAGCACAGAGAAGCGCTGATGCAGCGATTATCGATGGTTTATACTCTAAATACTTGATTTCTATTGTTAAAACAAGCATTAAAATCAGATTTCAAGCTATTTTGTGTATATAGCAAGAATTGAGAATATTATTGATTACGGTAATGCGATTTGAAGATGATTTTTGAAGCTTGGTCTTTGAGTGATTGAGTCCATGTTGGATCTTCGAGCATAAAAATTATAAAGAACAAAAAGAACACTTAACCAGATTTGTTACGTGTTGGGAACCAATACTAAACAAAAGTGAAAACTTAAAACAGAAAAACCGAACCACTAGAAAAAAACCATTTAAATATAGAACTTTAAGCACTAAAAAATTAACCAGTGAGGTACTGAGGTATTTGCCTAAATCTATAGTACATTTTATTAAAAAATGTACGGTACATAGGAAAATCAATGGCTAAGATTGAGCCACATCATTAAAAGTGACTTGTTAAACAGGTCACCTTTTATAGTTATGAGCTAAAATCATATTTCTTCACAACTATAATCAAATTAATCATAACTTAGTCATAATCACATTTTATAACCAACACCATTTTGTTCATAACTAATATCACATATTTCATATCCACATCTTATAACCAACATCGTTTTATTCATAACTAATATCACATATATCAGAACCACAATCACATATCTCATAATCACATCTCATAACTAATCCATTTGAGTCATAACCAACATCACATATCTCATAACCACTGGCCAATTCCTCAGCCCATTGAAGCTTTGAAGATGAAGGAATTCGATTTATCCGAAAACAACTTGACAGGAACAATTCCGGATGATTTTGGTGCACTAACAGAGTTGTCGCCTTTGTCTCTATTTTCCAATCAACTCTCGGGGGAGATACCGGAAAGCATTAGTCGCCTTCCGTCACTGACATATGTAACATTGTCCAGCAACAATCTCTCTGGAACATTGCCACCGGACTTGGGGCAATATTCCATTCTTCAGGGGTTTGAAGTCGCCCAGAACCATTTCACCGGTAAGGTGCCGGAGTACTTGTGCGCTAATGGTGGACTAATAGGAATTGCGGCATATGATAACAATTTGAGTGGTGAATTGCCTAACTCACTTGGCAATTGTTCGAGTTTGTTGATTGTTCGGGTTAATGGTAATCGCCTTTCTGGCAGTATTTCAGCTGGTCTCTGGACATCAACCAATCTGACATTGTTGATGCTTAGCGATAACTCCTTTACCGGTCACCTTCCAAGAACACTTGCACCAAGTTTATTACGACTCGAGATCAGTAATAACAAGTTTTCCGGTGAAATCTCAACTGGGTTGTCTTCTTGGAAGCATTTAACAGTGTTCAGTGCAAGTAACAACCTCTTTGTTGGTACGATTCCCCAAGAATTGACAACACTTTCTCAATTGACAACTCTGCTGCTCGATGGGAATCTACTTTCCGGTCATCTTCCATCAGATATTGTCTCATGGAAGTGGCTGACCACTCTGAATCTCAGTCGAAACCAACTCTCGGGTTCAATTCCTGCCAAACTTGGTTCTTTACCAAGCCTCACTGTTTTGGACTTGTCAAGGAATGCGTTCTCAGGTCAAATTCCAACTCAGATTGGCCTTTTAAAGCTAACTTCCCTCAATTTGTCTTCCAACTGTCTCACTGGAAGAATCCCATCTGAGTTTGAAAATACTTTTTTCAATGCCAGCTTCTTGAACAACACCGGTCTTTGTGCAAGTAATCCATCACTCGGCCTTGAGATCTGCTCTTCTAGATTTGAAAACTCGAGCAAATTATTCTCCAGGCTTCTCGCTATAATCATAGGTATAGCAACAGTCTTACTTGCATCAGCTATGCTACTCACATTCTTCCTAATTAAAACCAAGGGCCGCGAATCGGATTCCAAGTGGGAGTTCACTTACTACCAGAAATTGAATTTGAGTTTCAAAGAGTCAGACATTTTGTCAAATTTGACTGAAAATAATGTGATCGGAAGTGGTGGGTCGGGAAAATTATATCGTGTTGAGTTGAACTGTTCAAGTGAAATTGTAGCAGTTAAGAGGATTCAGAATATCAAGTTGGATCAAAAGCTGGAGAAGCAATTCCTAGCAGAAGTTGAGATATTGGGCACAATTCACCATTCCAACGTAGTGAATTTGTTGAGTTGCATTTCTAGTGAGACTACAAAACTTATTGTTTATGAGTATTTGGGAAACCATAGCTTGGATAGTTGGCTCCATGGAAAAAAGAGGCAAAGCATATCGGATTCAGACCTCGGTGTTGTCTTGGACTGGCCTAAGCGGTTGAAAATTGCCGTGGGAGCTGCCCGAGGGCTATGCTACATGCACCATGATTGCAAACCTTCAGTAATTCACCGAGATGTGAAATCGAGCAATATTTTGTTGGATTCTCAGTTCAATGCAAAAGTTGGAGATTTTGGCCTAGCCAAGATATTGGTAAAGCATGGAGGGCCTAATACGATGTCAACTGTGATTGGCTCTTTTGGCTACATTGCTCCAGGTAATTAACATATAAATTGATTTATTTTTAATTTATTTTCGTATTTAATGAAATTTTTTTAAAAAATTAAAGTTAGACGTTTTTTTTTTTAACGTTTTTTAATTTATTTTTAAAATGGTTTATTTTTGTCATTCATAACATTTTTCAAATAACTAAAAAAATAAACCTCTGAATTGCAAATTGCGATCAGAGCTGGCAGGCGCTAAGTTCAAAAAATTTTAAATGTAAAAGTTTCTTTGAAATTGATTTAAAGACAAAAATATGTTAAATCTTGTCCAAAAAAATCTGAAAAGGTTTACTTTTTTCTTTAAATAGATGTTTGGAAAATTTTCAAAATTTTAAAGATTTCCTAGTAGAGATGGACGAAAATATTTGTAAGAAAATATTAAAAAAAAAAAAAAACTCTAGAGTTTGATCCTTGTAATAAAAAATGTCATGAATTTTTAATTTTGTCAATTTAAACAATAATCTGTTCATTTATTGTCAATCTAAACTATCAACCTATTTCCGTTAAGCAAAACCTATGGTAATTTGTGTTTTACTCATTAAATTCAATATAGGTTTTTATAAAATATCTGAAATATATTTTTTTATTGAGTTTAATGACTAAAATACTTATTTTTTTCTTCATCAATTTTCCTTAACAAAAATAGACAAATGATTTAGATTGAAACAATCAAAAGATTATGGTTTAAATTAAAAAAATTAAAAGCTCAGTTTATTTTGTTACATAAGTTAAACTCTAATATTTTTTTTCCTCCAAAATTTAAAATCTTGGTTCCAAATCACAGTAAGAGTTAGCTAGGAGCTGAGTTAAAAATTAAGGAAATGTGGAAAAATATTGAAACAATCTACTATAGATGAAAACAAGTTAAATTTTGTTGAAAAACTGCTAAAAAGTTTCCTCATTTTTGTCTTTAATGAGTTTTTTTTTTTTTTTTTTGAAAATTAAATTTTTTTTTTTAGATTTGTCTAGTCTAGATTGATGTAAAATGTATAAAATAAAAAAATTACCTCAAAGTTGTAAAACGTTCAATAAAAATAAGTCAAATATAAGACAAAAAAACAAGTCAACTTATAAGCTGTAATTAAAAAATTCTAAATTTTATTTTACATTAATTTTCGACATTCATATTTTAAATTATTTATGACTTTCAGAGTATGCTAGGACAAGCAAAGTGAATGAGAAGATTGATGTCTATAGCTTCGGTGTTGTCCTTCTAGAACTAGTTACTGGTAAGAAAGCCAACGATGAAAATGAAGGTATGTGCCTTGCCGATTGGGCATTTCAATATTACAATCAAGAAGGCAGGCACATAGTTGATGCCCTGGATGAGAAGATTAAAGAACTTCATTACTTGTATGAAATGGCTTGCGTTTTCGAGCTTGGGATCATTTGCACTAGCCCACTTCCCTCGAATAGGCCTAGCATGAGGCAGGTTTTACAAATCTTGCTCAATTGCAGCCATCAATCGGGATTTGGAGGGGGGTAATGTTGGGAGTGAGAATGACTGCTGTTCTGACTTCTCTGATGATTTTAGGCAGGGGAGCATTTTTTAAGGTGAGGATGGAAGTTTATTTTCCATTGTTTAGTTACTCTTTTCATTCTTGACTATTGCATAAGCATTCGCAATTACTACCACAAGAAAGCCGCCCCCTATCTCTAAAGGGGCTCATCACTTCGTCTGTAGACTGCAGTCTACCTTAGTGATTCCTCTTGTATACTCAACTTGTTTGGTGCCCTTCACCGGTTTATTCCTTCCTTGAGTAGAGCGGCAATGTGGCAGGACCGCCCTTGTAAAACAAATCAAGTTGCTCATTCTAGGCTTGTGAAAACCTATTTCAAGATCAACTCACTATGCAAATTTTTGAAGAAATTATAAAAAGAATTTCAGAATTGGAGCCCTACAATAAAATAAATTCTAAATTTTTAATTTTGTCAATTTAAACCTTAATATTGTAATTTTTTTTCCGTCTAAATTATTTGCATATTTTTGTTAGGTAAAAGCGATTACAAATGACATTTTTAGTTATTAAACTCAATAAAAAATAGTATTTAAGACATCTTCCATGTACCTATATTGAGCATAATAACTAAAATATTATTTTTCCGTTACTTTTATTTAATGAAAATATGCAAATGATTTAAATTAAAAATAAATCAGAATATTAGAATTTAAATTTACAAAATAAAAAATTTAAGATTTATTTTAGAGATTTTAGGTTTTTGTAATTGGTAATCCGTTTGACAAAACTCCTATCAGTTGTAATTTTATTCGCTATTTGTTTCAGTGAGATTAGGAGTGCTTAGATACCAATCCAACCCCGCGATGTGCCCGTGTAGAAGAGTTTGTGCTGGCATTCAGTATTCCTTGTTTGCCACTTCGCAGACTATAATAACTAAAATTGTTTGACCGCTCAAGCAGTGGAGTGGTTCATCCAGTATTTCAGCCTTCATTCAGAAACTGTTGAAAGTCCAAGGAGAGCATAAATTATGTAATCACATGAAAGATATATAGTAAAAAAAAAAAAAATGTATATATGTGTGTATATGCTTCCTACTTTATTTACATATTCATAAGAAGCAATCGTAGCTCTGAAGCAAGGAAATTACAGAGGAAACAACTCTGAGAAGCACAGAGAAGCGCTGATGCAGCGATTATCGATGGTTTATACTCTAAATACTTGATTTCTATTGTTAAAACAAGCATTAAAATCAGATTTCAAGCTATTTTGTGTATATAGCAAGAATTGAGAATATTATTGATTACGGTAATGCGATTTGAAGATAATTTTTAAAGTTTGGTCTTTGAGTGATTGAGCCGATGTTGGATCTTCGAGCATAAAAATTATAAAGAACAAAAAACACTTAACCACGATTTTGTTACGATGTTGGGAACCAATACTGAAAGCATAAGTTGAAAACTTAAAACAGAAAAACCGAACACTAGAAAAAACCATTTTAAATATAGAACTTTAAGCACTAAAAATTAACCAGTGAGGTATGAGGTATTTGCCTAAATCTATAGTACATTTTATTAAAAAATGTATGGTACATAGGAAAATCAATGGCTAAGATTGAGCCACATCATTAAAAGTGACGCTGTTAAACAGGTCACCTTTATAGTTATGAGCTAAAACCATATTTCTTCATAACTATAATCAAATTAATCATAACTTAGTCATAATCACATTTTATAAACCAACACCATTTTGTTCATAACTAATATCACATATTTCATATCCACATCTTATAACCAACATCGTTTTATTCATAACTAATATCACATATATCAGAACCACAATCACATATCTCATAATCACATCTCATAACTAATCCATTGAGTCATAACCAACATCACATATCTCATAACCAACACTTTTTTTTTTTTTTTTCCCATAACATCTCACATCATATCTCATCACCACTAGTCATATATCTCATAACTAACACTCTTTTGCTCATAAGTACACTACTTTGATCATAACTAAATCACATATCTCATAACTATTACCCACATGAATCATAACCACATCTCATAACCAACCCCTTTAAGTCATAACCAACATCACATATCTCATAACCACTAGTCACATATCTTCATAACTAACAATCATTTTGCTCCATAACCACACAACTTTGATCATAACATATCTCATATCTTCATAACCACTAACACATATAGCATAACCAAACACCATTTGACACCACTTTGCTCATAACCAAAATCACATATTTTAATAATCACTAAATCAAATATTCACAGGCCATTACCACATATCTCAAAACCACAAACATATATCATAACTACTAATCACATATCTCATAACCCACCACTTTGATCATAACCAACATTACATATCTCATAACCACTAATCACATATCTTCATAACCAAACACCCTTTGACTTATAAACTTTGATCATAATCAATATTACATATCTCATAATCACTAATCAACATATCTCATAACCAAACACCTTTTGACTTATAACTACACCACTTTGCTCATAACCAAATCACATTTTATAATACACTAATCAATATTTCATAACTATTACTGTCAGCGACCCAAACCCAACCCCCTATAGGTTTAGTGTCGTAACCGGCCAGTAATCATAGACTACCTACGGCCTCCATAAAAATAAACCTTTAATATAAAGTAGCAGGGCATAGCGGAAGTCCAAAATGTTATAGAATTCATCCATTGATCCATGCATATATGAGGAGAGCAAATATGTTAAGCAGGGTTTTGTTTCAAGTTACACCCAACATAAGTACAAATTCATGTCTTACAAAAATACACCCAACTATGTAACAAATACAAAACCATTAAACCACACAAAAGGGATTCGACAAGCATGGCTTCACCCAAGCTTGATTACTTCACTTGGAAGCTCCACAAAAGGCAGACTCGGGTAAACTCGAGGCTATATAACTTTGATGCTCAGTTTGCCCACCTACAATTACATATATAAATAAATAGTGAGCTAGAGCCCAATAAGTAACAACAGAATAAAGAGATTAAATGAATAAAGTTCGACAATAGTATAAAAACATTTCTTACAAATTTCGAAATGAATCTTAAATCATTTTCAAAGGGAGGCATTTTCCATATTAGATCAAATTCACAACAAAACATTTTGATTAGCAATAATAGCATCTCTTTGCAGTAACAAAAGTCCTTCGTAATATTATCTGTGGTATATCCATGAAGTGACAAATATTATTCCAATGATAACGTATCATACTAGCTATGGTATTGTTACCCCTAGGCAAAGGCCTAGCCATGGTATTGTTACCCCCAGGCAAGGGCCTAGCCATGGTATTATTACCCCCAGGCAAGGGCCTAACCATGGTACTATTACCCCCAGGCAAGGGCCTAGCCATGGTATTGTTACGCCCAGGCAAGGGCCTATATTCAATGGATGCCACAATATCGTTTCAAAACAGAACTTCATTCATTAAAGGACATAACATTTCAATAAGCCATGCTATCAATTATCAAATCATTTTAATAATTCATTCAATCAACTATGTAACGCCCCAAAATAATTCAATATGAACAACCCATAAATGATCAACATTTACCCAACAATGACTATAACCTATCAATCTTTATACAATTACTAGTGAGTCATTTTAAAGGTTTTACATGCGAGTATACATTCATCAATTCAAACATGTGAATCTATAGCATGTAAAGCAATCCATTCTCAAAAACAATACAATGCCCTTAAGGGCTTACATCTTCCAAGGCATAAGCCTGGTTACATAAAAAGATGGTTTCTGCAACCCATACACATTAGCCCTTGGCTCAAAAGAATTACACAAAAATAAAGAGTCATGTATTATTCTCAAAACATCCACGCCCTCAGTTCGGCGGGTTCGCCACATCTTTACCTGCACCAAATCCCATAGGGGTGAGCACAAAGCCCAATAGAGAATTCTTACAAAGTATATATAGTTATGCATACTCTTCAAAATAATGCAATTGTTAATGCCATGCCATGCATCTTTAAAAGAAAGTCCATTTCATACACCTTTAGAAGTTTCTATCTTCCAACAATTATTTACAATAGGGGCGGTAAATACGACACTGGTAATCCCTAGGCTGGTGTCTACAAGTAGACTCTACGAGGACTACCAAACTGTCATTTTTACCGGTATTAGCCGGAAGGCTCGACACCTATTCGCGCGATTTTCTGGTCTTTCACCAAGGACACTCAGGCCAACTTATCAAATTCTACTACACCCCCTATTCGGACTTACCACGTATTTTCCCCATTCACATTTCCATCATTCTCTTTACAATATAATCATTCTCATAATAAATGTCTTTCCAAAACATGTCAAGGTGCACGATGATAATAATAAATTGAAATATGATGCAATAATTACGATTCTCAAAATATCTCTACAACAATATCAATCAATCATCTCTCATTTCTTTCCTTCAAGTCATTTCACAAAATGCCCATGTGCCCACCATTCCTCACAAGAACAATTTACAACAATAATCCCTTCAAGGCAAACAATGTTCTCAACACAATTTCATGATCTTACGAAGTTTCATAAACATGGTATAAAATCATTCATCACTCACAACAACATAATCTTTTAACATTTTTTTTAACAAGTTTTGCAATAATAGCATCTCACCCATTATCATAATACAAAATAATAAGGAGTTTCACAAATATTTCCATGTGTTTTCAAAATCCCCCAATTTCTAGGGCTTTTATCAAGAATTTAACATTTAGCCATTTCAAGGTGAAGACCAACCCAAATCACATCTTATGAGTCAAATGGAAAGAAAACCCCCTAGAAAGAACAAATGATTTGAGATTTTAGAAACCCAATTTGAAAACCCTCTTTCTCTCTCTTCATTTAGTGTAAAATTTAAAACTACACAACTACTACATAACAACTTAAAGTCAACATTTAGTAGCAAAACATATATATATAACTCTAGAACTTCCTACCTCAAAGTAGAAGCCCAAGGAGAAGGGTGAGACAAAGGTGAAGCTTTCAAAAATGACAAAACCCACTTCTTCTTGGATGGAAATGAAGATCTTGAAGAGCTCACTCTTTTTATCTAAGGGAGGGAGGTGAGAAGATTACTAGATCTAGGTCAAATATAGAGAGAGAGGGTATTTCTAGGGAGAGAAGCTCTCAACTTAGGGTCTGGATGAAAAAGGAGATGAAAAAGTTATGTAAAAAGTCACTTTTACAATCTGATATATGCGAAGTCCGCTCGAGCGTCAGACACAACAATAACAATCCACTCGAGCGCGAATATCACCGCTCGAGTGTAGATTTCACCCATCTAGTAAATCACAGATTGCAGACAGCCGCTCGAGCGCCAGAAGGGCCGCTCGAGCTCAGACACGCTCGAGCATAAGAAACGCTGCTTGAGTGTGAAAAACACTCTTGCAGCACTTTTGCAGAGGCACTCAATACTGAAAGGTTTCAAACTCCGCTCGAGCGCAAGAAGTCCCGCTCGAGCGGAAGGCCGAAATTCTGGGCAACAAGATTTTAGACCGAAAGGCAACCAACTTGTTCTAGACAAGCTGAAGTCATTCCAAAACTCAAATTCAAGAGCAGTAAAGGAAGAAAGACACAACCGGTAACATCAAACAACAAGA